GCAGGTCTCCTCCTCTGTGGACAAAGGCCCGGGACAGGTCTCCTCCTCTGTGGACAAAGGCCCGGGGGCAGGTCTCCTCCTCTGTGGACAAAGGCCCGGGGGCAGGTCTCCTCCTCTGTGGACAAAGGACCCGGGGACAGGTCTCCTCCTCTGTGGACAAAAAGGCCGGGGACAGGTCTCCTCCTCTGTGGACAAAGGCCCGGGGCAGGTCTCCTCCTCTGTGGACAAAGGCCCGGGGCAGGTCCTCCTCCTCCTCTCTCTCTGTGGACAAAGGCCCGGGGCAGGTCTCCTCCTCTGTGGACAAAAGGCCCGGGGACAGGTCTCCTCCTCTGTGGACAAAGGCCGGGGGCAGGTCTCCTCCTCTGTGGACAAAGGCCCGGGGCAGGTCTCCTCCTCTCTGTGGACAAAGGCCCGGGGGCACAGGTCTCCTCCTCTGTGGACAAAGGCCCGGGGGCAGGTCTCCTCCTCTGTGGACAAAGGCCGGGGGGCAGGTCTCCTCTCTCTGTGGACAAAGGCCGGGGGCAGGTCTCCTCCTCTGTGGACAAAGGCCGGGGGACAGGTCTCCTCCTCTGTGGACAAAGGCGGGGGACAGGTCTCCTCCTCTGTGGACAAAGGCCGGGGGGGGACAGGTCTCCTCCTCTGTGGACAAAGGCCGGGGACAGGTCTCCTCCTCTGTGACAAAGGCCGGGACAGGTCTCCTCCTCTGTGGACAAAGGGCCGGGGGACAGGTCTCCTCCTCTGTGGACAAAGGCCGGGGGACAGGTCTCCTCCTCTGTGGACAAAGGCCCGGGACAGGTCTCCTCCTCTGTGGACAAAGGCCGGGGACAGGTCTCCTCCTCTGTGGACAAAGGCCCGGGACAGGTCTCCTCCTCTGTGGACAAAGGCCGGTGGGACAGGTCTCCTCCTCTGTGGACAAAGGCCGGGACAGGTCTCCTCCTCTGTGGACAAAGGCCCGGGACAGGTCTCCTCCTCTGTGACAAAGGCCGGGGACAGGTCTCCTCCTCTGTGGACAAAGGCCGGGGGCAGGTCTCCTCCTCTGTGGACAAAGGCCGGGGCAGGTCTCCTCCTCTGTGGACAAAAGCCCGGGGACAGGTCTCCTCCTTTGTCCTCTGTGGACCAAAGGCCGGGGCAGGTCTCCTCCCTCTGTGGACAAAGGCCGGGGCAGGTCTCCTCCTCTGTGGACAAAGGCCCGGGACCAGGTCTCCTCCTTTGTGGATAAAGGCCGGGCCAGGGTCCTCCTTGTGACAAAGGCCCGGGGCAGGTCTCCTCCTCTGTGGACAAAGGCCCCAGGGGCAGGTCTCCTCCTCTGTGGACAAAGGCCCGGGGCAGGTCTCCTCCTCTGTGGACAAAGGCCCGGGCAGGTCTCCTCCTCTGTGGACAAAGGCCGGGGCAGGTCTCCTCCTCTGTGGCACAAAGGCCCGGGGCAGGTCTCCTCCTCTGTGGACAAAGGCCCGGGTCAGGTCTCCTCCTCTGTGGACAAAGGCCGGGGACAGATCTCCTCCTCTGTGGACAAAGGCCCGGGACAGGTCTCCTCCTCTGTGGACAAAGGCCGGGACAGATCTCCTCCTCTGTGGACAAAGGCCGGGGACAGATCTCCTCCTCTGTGGACAAAGGCCGGGGACAGATCTCCTCCTCTGTGGACAATGGCCTGGGACAGGTCTCCTCCTCTGTGAATAAAGGCCTGGGACAGGTCTCCTCCTCTGTGGACAAAGGCCCGGGACAGGTCTCCTCTGTGGACAAAGGCCGGGGACAGGTCTCCTCTGTGACAAAGGCCGGGGACAGGTCTCCTCCTCCTATAGTGGTAAGGATTCAATCTCATGCTGGGGTTGGGCCATCTTCAGTTGGCGCTCTCATCCCTCCAATGTTCCTCTCTTTGGTCGAGCTGCATAAGGAGCACATTGGGGTCATCAGTTCCCCAAGTTGTAGGACTGTTTCTAGTACCAAATCCCCATTTGTGTGGCAAGTCAAACCCTTTTCTGGCTTTGATGTCGGGGTACACGGCTCACCTCGTTCTCTATCAGCACTCTCCAGGCTGGGTCCTCGTCTTCCCACCATACAGGTCCCTCTCAGCTCACAGACCTCAATCAGGGTCTCTTCTAGATTATCTCGTGAACACGCCTTCGGCCTGGATTCCTTCCTGGATAGAACATTTATAGGGAAAGTTGATCCCGGGAATATCCGATTGCCTCTCGGGGGATCAGGAAGGAATGGTTTCCCCTGCAGGAGGAGATTGGATCGCGCTTTGCTGGATTTTCTGCCTTCCTCTGGATCAGCTGTGGGTGGAGGATTATGACTTTTTCTATGGTTGAACTGGATGGACTTTTGTCTTTTTTCAGCCAAACTATGTAACTCCATGTACTAATGTACTGAGCAGGTCCCACCACTGCCCCAGAATGTCCGGGATGTAGGTGACCAGTTCACCGGGACGAGGACCTTGTCTGTAGGAGGGAGAAGAGAGGAGGGAGGAGCCTATTCTGAGCAATTAACGTCTTCCCATGGATGGTGCCGGAACCCAGGACAGGAGCTCCACCCAAGACAGGGCACCACCCCACCCAGGAAAGGAGCTCCCCCCAGGATGGTGCCGGAACCCAGGACAAGAGCTCCACACCAGGATGGTGCCGGAACCCAGGACAGGAGCTCCACCCAGGATGGTGCCCAAACCCAGGACAGGAGCTCCACACAGGACAGGGCACCCCCCCCCCCAGGATGGTGCCCGAATCCAGGACAGGAGCTCCACCCAGGATGGTGCCCGAATCCAGGAAAGGACACCACCGAGGACAGGGCCCGAACCCTGGACAGAGCCTCCACTCAGGTTGGTGCCCAAACCCAGGACAGGAGCTCCACTCAGGATGGTGCCCAAACCCAGGACAGGAGCTCCACTCACGATGGTGCTCGAACCCAGGACAGGAGCTCCACTCACGATGGTGCCCGAACCCAGGACAGGAGCTCCACCCAGGATGGTGCCCGAACCCAGGACAGGAGCTCCACCCAGGATGGTGCCCGAACCCAGGACAGGAGCTCCACCCAGGATGGTGCCCGAACCCAGGACAGGAGCTCCACCCAGGATGGTGCCCGAACCCAGGAAAGGACACCATCCAGGACAGGGCCCGAACCCAGGACAGGACCTCCACTCAGGATGGTGCCCAAACCCAGGACAGGACCTCCACTCAGGATGGTGCCCGAACCCAGGACAGGGGCTCCACCCAGGATGGTGCCCAAACCCAGGACAGGAGCTCCACCCAGGATGGTGCCCGAACCCAGGACAGAAGCTCCACCCAGGATGGTGCCCGAACCCAGGACAGGAGCTCTACCCAGGATGGTGCCCGAACCCAGGAAAGGACACCACCCAGGACAGGGCCCGAACCCAGGACAGGAGCTCCACTCAGGACGGTGCCCAAACCCAGGACAGGACCTCCACTCAGGATGGTGCCCGAACCCAGGACAGGAGCTCCACCCAGGATGGTGCCCGAACCCCGAACCCAGGATGGTGCCCGAACCCAGGACAGGAGCTCCACACAGGACAGGGCAACCCCCCCCCCCCCGGACATGAGCTCCAACCAGGACAGGGCAACCCACCCAGGATAGGAGCTCCACCCATGATGGTGCCTGAACCCAGGACAGGACCTCCACTCAGGATGGTGCCCGAACCCAGGACAGGACACCACCCCACCCAGGGACATGGTGCTGAACCCAGGACAGGACCAGGACAGAGCAGGGCCCCCAACCAGGATGGGACCTCCACCCAGGACGGTACCTCCACCCAGGACAGAGCAGGGCCCCCAACCAGGACCAAACCTCCACCCAGGACAGAGCAGGGCCCCCAACCAGGACCGGACCTCCACCCAGGACAGAGCAGGGCCCCCAACCAGGACCGGACCTCCAGCCAGTTGTTGGGGTACAATCAGATCTCGGGGGGTCACACACTGCAGACATATTAGTGGGAAGGAAACGTGGGAACAATTTTGGATCATCATTTATTAGAATAAACACTGAAAAATTACATCACGTTGATCGGGAATGATGACATCACGCTGATCGGGAATGATGACATCACGTTGATCTAAACGTTGATCGGGAATGATGACATCTGACGCGTTGATCGGGAATGATTGGGAATGATGACATGACATGACTTCCCAGCTGAACTCTGACGCCGAATTCTCCCTTCGCGGTCCACACAGAAGTTGTAGGATTTGGGATTATTCAGAGCGGCTTCAATCCTCTCCTCCAGGTTCTCCCGAGTGATGAAGGTCCTGGAAAGTTCCTGTGATAGAAAAGGAGGTCATTGGGGGAGGGGCACTGGAGAGTGGGGGGGTGTGTTCAGGGGACTAGGGATGAATGAGCCGTATGACTGAGGAAGTGGGTGGAGTTACAGAGGCGGGATGAATGAGCCGTATGACTGAGGAAGTGGGTGGGGAGTTACAGAGGCGGGATGAATGAGCAGTATGACTGAGGAAGTGGGTGGGGTTAGAGGTGGGATGAATGAGCCGTATGACTGAGGAAGTGGGTGGGGTTAGAGGCGGGATGAATGAGCCGTATGACTGAGGAACTGTGGGTGGGGTTAGAGGTGGGATGAATGAGCCGTATGACTGAGGAAGTGGGTGGGGTTAGAGGTGGGATGAATGAGCCGTATGACTGAGGAAGTGGGTGGGGTTACAGAGGCGGGATGAATGAGCAGTATCACTGAGGAAGTGGGTGGGGAGTTACAGAGGCGGGATGAATGAGCAGTATGACTGAGGAAGTGGGTGGGGTTAGAGGTGGGATGAATGAGCCGTATGACTGAGGAAGTGGGTGGGGTTAGAGGTGGGATGAATGAGCCGTATGACTGAGGAAGTGGGTGGGGTTACAGAGGCGGGATGAATGAGCCGTATGACTGAGGAAGTGGGTGGGGTTAGAGGTGGGATGAATGAGCTGTATGACTGAGGAAGTGGGTGGGGTTACAGAGGCGGGATGAATGAGCAGTATGACTGAGGAAGTGGGTGGAGTTACCTGCAGCCGCTCCACCGCCTCCTTCCTCTTCTGGACACTCTGCAGGTTCTCCTCCTCCTGGAGTCGGGCGATCTCCTCTCTCTGGAGCTGTGAAGCCTTTTCTTCCAACTGCAGACGTTCCAACCTGAGAACGACATACGGGGGGGGGGAAGGGAAGATGGGGGGGAAGATGGGGGGAGGGAAGGGGGAGGGGAGAGAAGGGGAGGAGGGGGAGGGGGGGAGAGAGGGGGGGGGGAGGAAGGGGGAGGGGAGAGGGTGACGGATCCGAGACACATCAGAGATACAGAAGAGTCGGGCTTGAGGCTGGACACTGAAAAGGACCGAGGAGAGACACCTCCTGAAGAGCGATCCGCTCTCCTGGCCACACACCTCCTGAAGAGCGATCTGGTCTGACTGCACTCACCTCCTGAGAATAGCTTTCTTGTTCTCCTCCAGGTTCCAGGCCATGAGGGCGCCGTGCTCCTCCATTTCCTGCTGATGGCGCTGTTCAGCCAAAGACCCGACTTCCAGTTCATGTTGTTGTTGTGTCAATTCTCTCCGAAACTGAAACCTGGAGAACCAGACAGGCCAGAAATCAGTGACCCCTCCCATCCCCGCCCCCAACCTTCATCTCCACTCCTCCCCCAAACACTCACATCACTGATTATCCCCGCCCCCAACCTTCATCTCCACCCCTCCCCCAAACACTCCCACCCCGACTACCCCAGCCCCCAACCTTCATCTCCACCCCTCCCCCCAAACACTCACATCACTGATTATCCCCGCCCCCAACCTTCATCTCCACCCCTCCCCCAAACACTCACATCACTGACTATTATCCCCGCCCCCAACCTTCATCTCCACCCCTCCCCCAAACACTCCCACCCGACTGACCCCAGCCCCCAACCTTCATCTCCACCCTCCCCCAAACACTCCCACCACGACTATCCCCGCCCCCAACCTTCATCTCTACCCCTCCCCCAAACACTCCCACCCCGACTACCCCAGCCCCCCAACCTTCATCTCCCACCCCTCCCCCAAACACTCCCACCCCGACTACCGCAGCCCCCAACCTTCATCTCCACCCCTCCCCCAAACACTCCCACCCCGACTACCCCAGCCCCCAACCTTCATCTCCACCCCTCCCCAAACACTCCCACCACGACTATCCCCGCCCCCAACCTTCATCTCTACCCCTCCCCCAAACACTCCCACCCCGACTACCCCAGCCCCCAACCTTCATCTCCACCCCTCCCCCAAACACTCCCACCCCGACTACCCCAGCCCCCAACCTTCATCTCCACCCCTCCCCCAAACACTCCCCCACCCCGACTATCCCCGCCCCCAACCTTCATCTCCACCCCTCCCCCAAACACTCCCACCCTGACTACCCCAGCCCCCAACCTTCATCTCCACCCCTCCCCCAAACACTCCCACCCCTGACTATCCCCAGCCCCCAACCTTCATCTCCACCCCTCCCCCAAACACTCCCTTCCCTGACTATCCCCGCCCCCAACCTTCATCTCTACCCTTCCCCAAACACTCCCATCCCTGACTATCCCCACCCCCAACCTTCATCTCCACCCCTCCCCCAAATTTTCACCCCTGACTACCACAGGAAGTTCCCGCACTTGCGGATGTCCCTGGACAAAGGTTGCGTTCATGAAAAGCGCGGCCCGTGTCCAGGAGGCATGCCTCATTGCCAGGCGACAAGGCACACTGCCCCCCGGCCCCCGCCCCGGTTGCTAAGACGACCCAAAGAGCGTCCTGCATCAGCTTAAGAAGCTCCGGTCATCTTCTCCGCTGCATAGCCATTGAGGGAGCCCAGCTGTGGCGTGACCCTCGTGGCTAGACTCTGCCAAAACCCCTCCCCCCCAGCCAAGAGGGGAACCGCACCCAAGCCCTGCCTGAGACCCCCAGCCTAGGGGCTTTGCTGCCAACCTGCCTGAGACCCCCAGCCTAGGGGTGCTTTGCTGCCAACCTGCCTGAGACCCCCCAGCCTAGGGGTGCTTTGCTGCCAACCTGCCTGAGACCCCCAGCCTAGGGGTGCCTTGCCTGCCAACCTGCCTGTGTCATGGAAATTTTGTATTGTTGGTCGAACTTTAAATGTGTCATGTATTCGTGTTATTCATATGTCTCTCGTGTGGCTTAATTAAAGCTCTGAAGGCTGCAATTGGGCCATGCGCATGTACAATGTATGTATTACAGTACTCGGCTTGGTAATGGATGAGATGGCAGATCTGCGCTTATAGACCGGCGTGTATACCACCACGGCATTCCATGCGAATGCTGCTGTCAGTAGACCGTGGGCCTGTATCCACATATCAGCAGCATGGTACCACGTGGGCTTCATAACGCAATGCGCAAGCGGTGTGAACTCCACGTGTAGGCTTGTGCATATCTTACAACCCATTACTAATCTGAACTGTATCTCGGATGGATGTGTTTTTAATAAAGATCGTATCGGGCCCATCCAGGTACAGACTGATATTTTTAGAGAGTGCTTGTGCAGAGAATGTACATACCAATAGAAGCTAGTAGGACAGGAAATATGACCTCAGATGGCTCATAGGGGGGAAGGGGAGGAAGTCTGCTGACCTCAGAAGGTTCATGGGGGAGGACCAGTGATAGATAATAGCAAAGGCTATGCTCCAATTGGAATGTATATCCTCTGTATAGGTACTCCCCATTGCATTGTTCGGTGGGAGGGATTGACTTTATTCATGTGGGGGCATGTGTGTATTCTTAATAAAACAGAGAGCTGAGCCTAAAATCAGCCCTTATGTGGATTGCAACACCAGCCTTAGAGTGTCGTGTGATCATTCTAGGGTAGCGGAGCTCCAATCACCCACAAATTCAACAGGACCAAAGTATTTGGATGGGCAGGAATCGTGTAGTTTGGCTGCAGTCGTGGTAAGCGAGATTCGCACAGCTTTATGGGGGATTTCTGCGCATCCAACTGCGAGTACTCACGGTAAGGAGAAATTCGTTAAAGCGAATTTCCAAGACACCTGAGACCCCCAGCCTAGGGGTGCCTTGCCTGCCAACCTGCCTGAGACCCCCAGCCTAGGGGTAGATTTCCTGCCAGCCTGCCTGAGACCCCCAAGCCCAGGGGTAGACTGCCTGCCAGCCTGCCTGAGACCCCCAGCCCAGGGGTAGACTGCCTGCCAGCCTGCCTGAGACCCCCAGCCTAGGAGTAGATTTCCTGCCAGCCTGCCTGAGACCCCCAAGCCCAGGGGTAGACTGCCTGCCAGCCTGCCTGAGACCCCCAGCCCAGGGGGGAGATTGTATGCCTGCTGCCTGAGACCCCAGTCCAAAGGAGGGGAGACCGAACAAGCCAGCCTGCCTGAGACCCCCAGCCCTGAACTGTCCCTGTGATGACCCCCCCCCCCCCCCTGTTGGATTACCATCTGCTATAGAGACTTTCTCTTTGCTCTCAATACTGGACTATAAGTGTTTTAGCCCCTCCTTGCTGCCCCCTACTGGCGAGATCACCTCCCTGCCATTCCCCATTGAGTGACTGTCGGTTTGTTGCCTCAATAAAGCTTTGTGCGTTTGCCATCTGCTCTGTGTGTTCTGTCCTGCCTACCCTCCATCACACACGCCCCCAACCTTCATCTCCGCCCCTCCCCTAAACACTCCCACCCCAGACTATCCCCACCCCTAACCTTCATCTCCACCCCTCCCCCAAACTCCCATCCCTTACTATCCCCGCCCCCAACCTTCATCTCCGCCCCTCCCCTAAACACTCCCACCCCAGACTATCCCCACCCCTAACCTTTATCTCCACCCCTCCCCCCAAACTCCCATCCCTTACTATCCCCGCCCCTAACCTTTATCTCCACCCCTCCCCCAAACTTCCATCCCTTACTATCCCCGCCCCCCCAACCTTCATCTCCGCCCCTCCCCTAAACACTCCCCACCCCTGACTAATCCCCACCCCTAACCTTTATCTCCACCCCTCCCCCAAACTCCCATCCCTTACTATCCCCGCCCCTAACCTTAATCTCCGCCCCTCCCCTAAACACTCCCACCCCTGACTATCCCCACCCCTAACCTTTATCTCCACCCCTCCCCCAAACTCCCATCCCTTACTATCCCAACCCCCAACCTTCATCTCCGCCCCTAATCCCCTAAACACTCCCACCCCAGACTATCCCCACCCCTAACCTTTATCTCCACCCCTCCCCCAAACTCCCATCCCTTACTATCCCCGCCCCTAACCTTTATCTCCACCCCTCCCCCAAACTTCCATCCCTTACTATCCCCGCCCCCAACCTTCATCTCCGCCCCTCCCCTAAACACTCCCACCCCTGACTATCCCCACCCCTAACCTTTATCTCCACCCCTCCCCCAAACTCCCATCCCTTACTATCCCCGCCCCTAACCTTAATCTCCGCCCCTCCCCTAAACACTCCCACCCCTGACTATCCCCACCCCTAACCTTTATCTCCACCCCTCCCCCAAACTCCCATCCCTTACTATCCCCACCCCCAACCTTCATCTCCACCCCTCCCCTAAACACTCCCACCCCTGACTATCCCCACCCCTAACCTTTATCTCCACCCCTCCCCCAAACTCCCATCCCTTACTATCCCCACCCCTAACCTTTATCTCCACCCCTCCCCCAAACTCCCATCCCTTACTATCCCAACCCCCAACCTTCATCTCCGCCCCTCCCCCAAACTCCCATCCCTGACTATCCCCACCCCAACCTTCATCTCCGCCCCTCCCCCAAACTCCCATCCCTTACTATCCCAACCCCCAACCTTCATCTCCGCCCCTCCCCCAAACTCCCATCCCTTACTATCCCCGCCCCCAACCTTCATCTCCGCCCCTCCCCCAAACTCCCATCCCTTACTATCCCAACCCCCAACCTTCATCTCCGCCCCTCCCCCAAACTCCCATCCCTTACTATCCCCACCCCCAACCTTCATCTCCGCCCCTCCCCCAAACTCCCATCCCTTACTATCCCCACCCCCAACCTTCATCTCCGCCCCTCCCCCAAACACTCCCACACCGACTAACCCTGCCCCCAATCTTCAGGACATACCTGAGTGCATTCAGTAGGAGGACATACCTGAGTGCGGTCAGTAGGGGGACATACCTGAGTGCGGTCAGTAGGAGGACATACCTGAGTGCGGTCAGTAGGAGGACATACCTGAGTGCATTCAGTAGGAGGACATACCTGAGTGCGGTCAGTAGGGGGACATACCTGAGTGCGGTCAGTAGGAGCACATACCTGAGTGCGGTCAGTAGGAGGACATACCTGAGTGCGGTCAGTAGGAGGACATACCTGAGTGCGGTCAGTAGGAGGACATACCTGAGTGCGGTCAGTAGGAGCACATACCTGAGTGCGGTCAGTAGGGGGACATACCTGAGTGCGGTCAGTAGGAGGACATACCTGAGTGCGGTCAGTAGGAGGACATACCTGAGTGCGGTCAGTAGGAGGACATACCTGAGTGCGGTCAGTAGGGGGACATACCTGAGTGCGGTCAGTAGGAGGACATACCCGAGTGCGGTCAGTAGGGGGACATACCCGAGTGCGGTCAGTAGGGGGACATACCCGAGTGCGGTCAGTAGGGGGACATACCCGAGTGCGGTCAGTAGGGGGACATACCCGAGTGCGGTCAGTAGGGGGACATACCCGAGTGCGGTCAGTAGGGGGACATACCCGAGTGCGGTCAGTAGGGGGACATACCCGAGTGCGGTCAGTAGGGGGACATACCCGAGTGCGGTCAGTAGGGGACATACCCGAGTGCGGTCAGTAGGGGGACATACCTGAGTGCGGTCAGTAGGGGGACATACCTGAGTGCGGTCAGTAGGGGGACATACCTGAGTGCGGTCAGTAGGGGGACATACCTGAGTGCGGTCAGTAGGGGGACATACCTGAGTGCGGTCAGTAGGAGGACATACCTGAGTGCGGTCAGTAGGAGGACATACCTGAGTGCGGTCAGTAGGGGGACATACCTGAGTGCGGTCAGTAGGGGGACATACCTGAGTGCGGTCAGTAGGGGGACATACCTGAGTGCGGTCAGTAGGGGGACATACCTGAGTGCGGTCAGTAGGAGGACATACCTGAGTGCGGTCAGTAGGGGGACATACCTGAGTGCGGTCAGTAGGGGGACATACCTGAGTGCGGTCAGTAGGGGGACATACCTGAGTGCGGTCAGTAGGAGGACATACCTGAGTGCGGTCAGGAGAAGAGAGTACTCTCGGTAGCGCCGTTGCACATTCAGAAGCTCCTCTATGGACACCATTGGTGGATATTTGATTCGGGAGGCCTTGGACTTGGCTGGGGGGTCATAGCGAGACTTCCTGCCCCGACACGGGGTCATAGAGGGTGTGCAGGAGAGGCGGAGCAACAGGGAGGCACGCGGGATCTGGAACATGGTGTCCCCGGGAGAATCCAGAGACCTACAAACACAAAACAGTCCAGGTATAGAACTTCCACCTTGTCCTTCCCTCCCACAGTCCCTGGAGGACCTTCCACTATCGTCCCACAGTCCCTGGAGGACCTTGCCCTTCCCTCCCACAGTCCCTGGAGGACCTTGCCCTTCCCTCCCACAGTCTCTGGAGGACCTTCCACTATCGTCCCACAGTCCCTGGAGGACCTTGCCCTTCCCTCCCACAGTCCCTGGAGGACCTTGCCCTTCCCTCCCACAGTCCCTGGAGGACCTTGCCCTTCCTCCCACAGTCCCTGGAGGACCTTGCCCTTCCCTCCCACAGTCCCTGGAGGACCTTCCACTATCGTATCGTCCCACAGTCCCTGGAGGACGTTGCCCTTCCCTCCCACAGTCCCTGGACCATCTTCCAGATTTAGAAGAGGAGACCTCCAGGCAGTTGAGAAGACACCTTCTGACCAAAGAATGGAAACCTTCCTCTCCAGGGTTCTTGGGAACTGCACAGGAGGAACCACCTCCTGGGGTCCATGGAAAGGCAGTCCTTCCTTCGGCAGACACAAGGGGTCCCCATCAGGCAGAATGGCTCCTTAAAGGCTAAAGATGACAAGTCCTCAGTCCCTGTACAGGTTGTGATGAGGAGAAAGGCCACCGAGTGCAGCACACTAGAGAAGAATGCTGGATCCAGGCTCTAAAGGCCGTTTAGTCCGTCCATTGAGGACTTTAGACAGGACCTATGGAGGGACCAGAGGGACCCTTCTGAGCTGCAAACAAAAACACAAAACTCCTAACAGATCTTTTGCCAGACTGACCTCCAGGAAGAATGACAGTTCTGGACACGAAGGGACTCCAAGCCAGTCCTCGCTCCACTCTCTACTGAAGACATGTTGAGGGAAGATCTTCCCTCCTCCGGCACCACGAAGGAAGGACCTTCCGGTCATCTTCCTACAACCGAGGACTGTCTGCACATCCCCCGTCCTTCACCATTTCCCTTTCAAGATCCAGATCCTCAATTCCTGGAAATCTGAAGTTGTGGTTTTGTGTGGAGAACCCCCCCCTGACCAAAGAAGGTCCAACCAGACCGGCCGAGGTGGAAGGAGGACTGCTCCGTGACTCTCCGAAAACATGGGGGCCACCGGGGGGCCCTCAGAATGAACCTGGACTTTTGTAAGGACCCCGAACCCGATAGAAAAGGAGGAACCCCCATTCCTGGGACATTGATGTCCCCGAAGCCTCCACCTGAGGGCCATCATAGAAAAAGTCCCCGATTCAATTCCCAGTCCCTCGGATGCCACCCCCCCCCCCCCCCCCCCCACCTGAGGGCAGAAAAAGTCCCCGATTCAATTTCCAGTCCCTCGGATGTCACCTGTTCTCCTGCAACTTCCCGCAGCCGAGGAGGAGAAGAGACTGGAGGCCCCTCCCACAGCCGAGGAGGAGAAGAGACTGGAGGCCCCTCCCACAGCCGAGGAGGAGAAGAGACTGGAGGCCCCTCCCACAGCCGAGGAGGAGAAGAGACTGGAGGCCCCTCCCACAGCCGAGGAGGAGAAGAGACTGGAGGCCCCTCCCGCAGCCGAGGAGGAGAAGAGACTGGAGGCCCCTCCCGCAGCCGAGGAGAAGAGACTGGAGGCCCCTCCCGCAGCCGAGGAGGAGAAGCGACTGGAGGCCCCTCCCCACGCCGAGGAGAAGAGACTGGAGGCCCCTCCCACAGCCGAGAAGAGACTGGAGGCCCCTCCCACAGCCGAGAAGAGACTGGAGGCCCCTCCCACAGCCGAGAAACAGAAGAGACTGGAGGCCCCTCCCACAGCCGAGGAGGAGAAGAGACTGGAGACCCCTCCCACAGCCAAAGAAAAGAGACTGGAGGCCCCTCCCACAGCCGAGGAGGAGAAGAGACTGGAGGCCCCTCCCACAGCCGAGGAGGAGAAGCGACTGGAGGCCCCTCCCACAGCCGAGGAGGAGAAGCGACTGGAGGCCCCTCCCGCAGCCAAGGAGGAGAAGAGACTGGAGGCCCCTCCCGCAGCCGAGGAGGAGAAGAGACTGGAGGCCCCTCCCACAGCCGAGGAGGAGAAGAGACTGGAGGCCCCTCCCGCAGCCGAGGAGGAGAAGAGACTGGAGGCCCCTCCCACAGCCGAGGAGGAGAAGAGACTGGAGGCCCCTCCCGCAGCCGAGGAGGAGAAGAGACTGGAGGCCCCTCCCGCAGCCGAGGAGGAGAAGAGACTGGAGGCCCCTCCCGCAGCCGAGGAGGAGAAGAGACTGGAGGCCCCTCCCACAGCCGAGGAGGAGAAGAGACTGGAGGCCCCTCCCGCAGCCGAGGAGGAGAAGAGACTGGAGGCCCCTCCCGCAGCCGAGGAGGAGAAGAGACTGGAGGCCCCTCGGTGATCAGTACGGGGGGAGGGGGAATCGATGATCAGTACGGGGGGGGGGGCGGAGGGGAGGGAATCGGTGATCAGTGGGGGGGGGGGAAATCGGTGATCAGTACGGGGGGGGGCCAAGGGGAGGGTACGGGGGGGGGAAAATCGGTGATCAGTACGGGGGGGGGGGGGGAAAATCGGTGATCAGTACGGGGGGGGGGGGGGGGGGAATCGGTTATCAGTACGGGGGGGGGGGGGGAAATCGGTGATCAGTACGGGGGGAGGGGAAATCGATGATCAGTACGGGGGGGGGGAGGGGGAATCGATCATCAGTACGGGGGGGGCGGAGGGGAGGGAATCGGTGATCAGTGGGGGGGGGGAAATCGGTGATCAGTACGGGGGGGGGGGGGGGGCGGAGGGGAGGGAATCGGTGATCAGTACAGGGGGGGGGGGGAAATCGGTGATCAGTACGGGGGGGGGGGAAATCGGTGATCAGTACGGGGGGGGGGAAATCGGTGATCAATCAGTGGGGGGGGGGAGGAAATCGGTGATCAGTCCGGGGGGGGGGGGGAAATCAGTGATCAGTACAGGGGGGGGATCAGTGATCAGTACGGGGGGGGGGGGGGTCGGTGATCAGTAGGGGTGGGGGGGGGGGGGTCGGTGATCAGTACGGGGGGGGGGGATCGGTGATCAGTACGGGGGGGGGGGATCGGTGATCAGTACGGGGGGGGGGGGATCGGTGATCAGTACGGGGGGGGGGGGGGATCGGTGATCAGTACGGGGGGGGGATCGGTGATCAGTACGGGGGGGGGATCGGTGATCAGTACGGGGGGGGGGGGATCGGTGATCAGTACGGGGGGGGGGGATCGGTGATCAGTACGGGGGGGGGATCGGTGATCAGGGGGGGGGGGGATCGGTGATCAGTACGGGGGGGGTCGGGGGGGGGGGGATCGGTGATCAGTACGGGGGGGGGGGATCGGTGATCAGTACGGGGGGGGGGGGAATCGGTGATCAGTACGGGGGGGGGGGGATCGGTGATCAGTACGGGGGGGGGGGGGATCGGTGATCAGTACGGGGGGGGGGGGGGTGATCATACGGTGATCAGTACGGGGGGGGGGGATCGGTGATCAGTACGGGGGGGGGGGGATCGGTGATCAGTACGGGGGGGGGGGGGGGGGATCGGTGATCAGTAGTGGGGGGGGGGGGATCGGTGATCAGTACGGGGGGGGGGGATCGGTGATCAGTAGGGGGGGGGGGGGGATCAGTACGGGGATCAGTACGGGGGGGGGGATCGGTGATCAGTACGGGGGGGGGGATCGGTGATCAGTACGGGGGGGGGGGATCGGTGATCAGTATGGGGGGGGGGGGAATTAGTGATCAGTACGGGGGGGGGACCGGTGATCAGTACGGGGGGGGGACTTCGGTGATCAGTACGGGGGGGGACTTCGGTGATCAGTACGGGGGGGGGGTGATCAGTACGAATCGGTGATCAGTACGGGGGGGGGGGAAATCGGTGATCAGTACGGGGGGGGGGGATCGGTGATCAGTACGGGGGGGGGGGGGGTCGGTGATCAGTACGGGGGGGGGGTCGGTGATCAGTACGGGGGGGGGGATCGGTGATCAGTACGGTGGGGGGGGGGGGGTCGGTGATCAGTTAGTATCGGGGATCAGGGGGGGGGGGGTCGGTGATCAGTACGGGGGGGGGGATCGGTGATCAGTACGGGGGGGGATCGGTGATCAGTACGGGGGGGGGGGAAATCGGTGATCAGTACGGGGGGGGGGTCGGTGATCAGTACGGGGGGGGGATCGGTGATCAGTACGGGGGGGGGGGGAATCGGTGATCAGTACGGGGGGGGGGGGAAATCGGTGATCAGTACGGGGGGGGGGGATCGGTGATCAGTACGGGGGGGGGAATCGGTGATCAGTACGGGGGGGGGAAATCGGTGATCAGTACGGGGGGGGGGGGGGGAAATCGGTGATCAGTACTGGGGGGGGGGGGGGGGGGAAATCGGTGATCAGTACGGGGGGGGGGGGATCGGTGATCAGTACGGGGGGGGGGGGATCGGTGATCAGTACACGGGGGGGGGGGGATCGGTGATCAGTACGGGGGGGGGGGGATCGGTGATCAGTACAGGGGGGGGGGATCGGTGATCAGTACAGGGGGGGGGATCGGTGATCAGTACGGGGGGGGGGGATCGGTGATCAGTACGGGGGGGGGATCGGTGATCAGTACGGGGGGGGGGGGAATCGGTGATCAGTACGGGGGGGGGGATCGGTGATCAGTACGGGGGGGGGGGGAGAGGGGGAGGGGGGTCGGTGATCAGTACGGTGGGGGGGGGAGATCGGTGATCAGTACGGGGGGGGATCGGTGATCAGTACGGGGGGGGGGGATCGGTGATCAGTACGGGGGGGGAGATTGGAGATCAGTACGGGGGGGGGGATCGGTGATCAGTACGGGGGGGGGGATCGGTGATCAGTACGGGGGGGGGGGGA